CATATCTCAGTTAACTTTGGACTCCTATATCTCTGTTTTTTGTCAGTCCTACATTGGAAAACAACTACACTATCTTGTGCGACCCACTAGACTGCATAACGTAAAAAATACGTTCGTAGAATTTCAAGTTAAGGTGAAATAAGTAAATTGAACTTACTTGCCTAACTTGAAGAAAAAAAACAAGTATAAAGCAATAATGATGTTATTGGTTAATACGGCCATAACATGGATGATATGATGACGTAACTCACTATCGGTTAGGCATAAACCTAGCTTGTCTGTATCGTATCAACGGCCAGTTTTCTGCATATTAAAGAGCTTCCCTTACATTTGATTGGTCGAACTAACCGTGCTGCTCCTATCGAAATTAGATATCATGCTTAAGATGTAGAAGTAGGTTTGTTTGCTTTTAGTATTTTGGCGAAAAGCTATGCAAGGGATATTTATACATAGCCGTCCCTAATTTTGAGTTGACAGACTAGAACTATCCAATAACACCCGCCGCCAACTTTAGGGCTACTATAATGGGATTGAACCATTACTCTTATAGTGCATCCAAGGCCCCAAAGCGTTCGTTTGCATCAAATGGACAGATGTAGATGTCTCCAGTGGCACAGCGACATGTCTGCGGACTTACAACACTAGAAACCGGGTTTCGATACCCGTGGTGGGCAGAGCACAGGTAGCCCATTGTGTAGCTTTGTGCCTAACTTCAAACCAACAAACAGAAGTAGATTTTGATAGATATTTAAGCATGTCTTGTTAACAACTTTAGTTTTTTCTTCTTCAAGAGCTCTGCAGAAATTGTGATTTCCGAATTATTTTACTACGTATAGCGCATCTTTTGTATTGGGTTACAGAGCGCGTGAAAGTGTAAAGTCTATATAACATCAAACATATTGAGATTAGATAGTAGGGATAAAAGATTTTAGTAAATGAAACCAGGAAGACTTTAATGTAATGCTTTAAAATCGAAATTACCAGACCCTCAGTGGGACAGCAGTAAATCTGTGGATTTACAACGCTGCAATCCGGGGTTCGATTCCTCGCTAGATTACCCAATTGTGACTTTGCTCTAGAAAACAAACAACCGAACTTACTTCTACGTTCACCTTATTTGAATGATTAATGATCTTGTGAGAGTTTTTCATTATTGTTCATGTTAATGAAAGTTGTTTGTAAATGGGAAAATAATGCAAAGGCTCGGGGGGGGGGGTGAATAAGAATGGTAATTTAGATAAACTGTTTCATGTCTTTTTTTATATTATACATGTAAAGAACTGTAGAATATTCAACATTATTTTTTGAGTTCACACCTTGAATTGAAATACTGAAATATTGTCATGTTAAATAGATACCTCAAGATCGCTCAGAAAACAAGAATAACATTTTAATAATAGTATTTTATCTAGCTAAAAGTAGTAGACTGGATTACACAATTATGTTTTTTTAATGGCGTATTGATATGGAATCAAACTACTGCCTTTTACCTCATTTGAGCTCCTCCTTTGTTTACAAATGGCCTGGTGGCTAGGGCGCTTGACTCGCAACCTGAGGGTCGCGGGTTCGAATCCTCATCCCACCAAGCATGCTCGCCCTTTTAGCCGTGGGAGCGTTATAATGTGACGGCCAATCTCACTACTCGTTGGTAAAAGAGTAGCCCAAGAGTTGGCGGTGATTACTAGCTGCCTACCTTCTAGTCTTTCACTGCTAAGTTGGGGACGGCTAGCTTGTGTAGCTTTGCGCGAAATTCAAACCAAACCATTTGTTTACAAATAATTCATTTTTCAAGTTCTTCTCCTATTGTATACAATCATTATTATATTGGGAAGATATCTGTATTGTATACAGAAGTAGTAGGTTGCCTTACGTGATTTCATTTTTCAAGTTCTTCTCCTATTGTATACAATCATTATTATATTGGGAAGATATCTGTATTGTATACAGAAGTAGTAGGTTGCCTTACGTGATTTCATTTTACTAAGATCGTTTTGTTTATTTTCAGAATGTTTGTGTAAAGCAACATATAGTGTGCTATCTGCGAATAGACGTCACTAAGTTTGACCTGATAGACTAGAGGGATGACAGCTAGTCAACAACACCTGCCGCTAGCTCTGGGGCTGCTCTTGTCTAACTGAATTTGTCCCTCTGTCTTATAGCGCACCCACAGCTCCTAAGTGTGAAGTCCTTTTTCTTGCAATAACGGGGTATGAACCGTTAATCTTCGTATTAACAGTTCACATTCTATAATCGCCAGGTCACGCCCGCCTTGTTAACGTTCGAAGCTGATAGGGACTTAACCACTTGCGCTAAAGATATGGGTTGATTCGCCTCGCTCAGACATTTTTTGTGTCCAAATTTTCTGGTTAGTATATTGTTTTTTAAACTTTAAAATACTCTCATCCTTATATGTTAAGGCATATACTTATAGGAAATATTTAACGTAAACGAGCACAGGATAGTATCAATTTTCGTTTTATCTTGACATAAAATATAATCTTGTAAATATATATCTAGCTCTGGATTTGGAATTGCTTATAAAATCTAATTGCTCCAACCATTGCCTTTAGAACTTATTAAAATCAACCATATCAAATTGATCAGAATGGATTATAGGTTTCTGTGAAGCTGTTGTTTATTAATGTTTTTAGACTTACATACACTGTCAGTTGGTTGACGATGTCTCCTTCCTTGGTGTTTACAATCGAAACGAAGATAGAAAAGAAAGCACTGACGATTGAAAACGTTTTTAGAAACTCTTTTTTTTGCGATATTTAAGCGTATGTACGTGCATAAGTATGTTTGTATAGTGATTGAGTCATGCACAGTGTTGTGTATGCGTTATATCCTTCGCACCATGACTGCTGAAACGTACTTGCACAATTTCGCGAATGTTGCGTGTACAACGGACGATGATCGAAATGTTGTTTGAAGAGAGGGCATTTCGTGAGGGGGTTAGAGAGGGGGATACAGTATGTCTTCACAAGTTTTTATAAACTGTATAAAGTCATTGGCCAACGTTTTTAAACTACTTGTTAACTCATATTTCACCAAAAAAAGAAAAAAAGGAGTGGGTAACAAGACTGGATACGACCAATAGCAGTGATTCATTCGTGATGTATAATCAAAGATCAGATAGTCCTATGAAATAGTGCAGATTTTGGTTACATGCGAGTGTCGTTTGTGTGTTTTGTATGAGGTAACTTATTATTGCCAAGGAGCTGTACCTAGAAGCAGGTGGTTCATGAAACTGGCACGTGTCACTCTATTGTCATATCACGCTGGATGACTTTTGTTTAACTTCCCTAGGTTTCTGTATCTTTCTGCTAGATGTAATAACTTGATAGGAAATTGAGGGATAAAAGCGAGAATGTAGAGTTAGATACAGGTGTTTGAATACTTTCAGATACAAATATGTAGTATTCATAAACTTATCAGATTTAACTTGATAGGAAATTGAGGGATAAAAGCGAGAATGTAGAGTTAGATACAGGTGTTTGAATACTTTCAGATACAAATATGTAGTATTCATAAACTTATCAGATTTACCGAATT